TAAAATAGTGAAATCTACTCTGAGTGGGATTATTTCAGCTAAATAGAGGCACCTGGAAGTTAGACATCTCTTTTAATTCAGCCTGATCCTCATAGCTCCCTTTTCAGTCAGTGGGAAGATTGACCCACCTGCAGATGACAGGGTTCTTGCCTTGGAGATGCTTGTTTCCTCCCAGAGAGGTAAAGGGGGCTTTGGGCAATGAATTGTCCCCAGCCTGACTGTCTAAAAGACTATTGCTTTTAGATCTATCCCTTGTATTTGGCTGGTTCCTCCTTCTTTTACCCCAGTACCTGCGTGCAAGCTGGTTATGTCCCCTCTGTTTTGTTGAGGCATCACCTTTCTTGTTGCTGAATACATAGCTTTGACATGAGCTCTAACAGCATGTGATAACATTGCTGCTTTGGCACATTAATAAGCAGGCAGTGCCTGGACTCTAGTTGTCTTTCCTACCTGTAACAGTGCCTCTATTAGACAGTCTTACCCCTGCATGTCTTCTCTTATGTCAGGTCATGTTTTGGAATTGCCCTAAAGTCTCTTTACAGAATAAAGTCAGGTACGATCCAGCTATCCATAAGTCTTCTAAATAGAAAATGAAAGTGTGCAAGGTCAGAGATAGTGCTGCTCTGATCTCTGGATTTATTTTTCTTTTTTTTAAAAAATACATAGATTTTCCTAGTTTTTTCCTGATTCTCCCAATTAATATAACGGAACAAAACTGGCATATTGTGTCACTGGGTGAAGATAAGAGTTGACTGACTTCTTCCCCCCAGACTCTTCCTTCTTGCAAAAAGATACAGTTATGATCTACGAGATTTCAAGACCTCTGGCTAGGTGACCATAAATCAAACCTAAACAGCACCACTGGAAGTCCCTGAGGTTTGTGGCTCAGAATAGCTTCATCATGTAAGCTCACTGGGCCTTAGGGAAGTCATCAGCTTTGCATAAAGGCGCTGAGATTTCAGAGTACACTTTTCTAGAATAGCCCTTCAGGTACACTTGGGAGGCTTTACAGAACTCCAGAGATCCCAGTTCTCCCAGCATTCAATTCTCCAATTAAGCACCCCTAAGGATACCTAGCCATAGAGACCTGGTAGCTGCAAAGGCTGATCACAGATTTCATGGTGAGATTGCCCTGGAGCTGTGAATTTGAGCAGTCAATCTTAGGACTTTGTACCAAGATTTTCATTCAAAAATTCATGTTTGGGAAGCTCTGCTGTGCATACATGGACTGTGTGTCTGTCACAAACATAACATCCATCCATCAGCCTAGCTTCAAATTCTCTGGATTCACATAAGATCTCAGGAAGTGCATTTATATATGGAGTGTGCACTTAGATGCTTTGGCTGACAAGAAGATTAAGCTATCACATCTCCATTACAACCAAAATGTGGGATTTTTGGGTTTCCATTGATGTTTGTGTGGAAAGAACAAGCCCTGCATCAGGATGAACATAAAAGTTGTCTTGAACTAAGAAAAAATTAGAACCACCACCTTTACGATGTCAAAGTATATTCAGAACTATCAGCTGACAAATGACTTCAAAATTGCTGGTAGCTTGGATTAGTTGTGTTTCTAATTCAAAATTATCAAATTTACAACAGCCATGTACTCTCTTCCACTATTCTATAATAGGTCTGTATTTCTCTGTTACTGTCGGCTTTACAATTACATTTCATTTTCTGAGGCCCAAGAAGTGCTTGGGAAAACAGTTTTCACTCACAAAACAGATCAAATGCAGCAGTGTTAGTCAGCATTTCTTTTTCAATCTCTACATAATCCTATTATATTTTAGGCAGTGCTGTCAAAGCATATGATGCTGAGCAACAATCTTACACAGAACAGCCCTGTTGCAGTGTGTGTAAGTTCATGTCTTTGACTGGTTGTGAACCATGGAATATCTTGGCAAAAGAATTTAATGAACCTAGATCCTCTTGTTTAAGCATTCATCCTATTATTCATCACATTCTATTTACGCTCTGTTTTTAAAGAGTATTTTAAAGAGAATTCTTAACTCTGTTGAGTTACGAAAAAACCATTTAATTCTATGTGTATATTGATTTCTACAAAGCCTTTTTATTTGAGGATCTTCTATCAGTCCAACTGTCTGCTTTCTATGCCATAGCAGTCTTCCCAGTTTAAAGATCCTGCAATTACATCTGTATTTATTAAATGAAAAAGAGCAAGGCACTGTTTTCTAACACTGAGACTTAGGGGCTGTATCTCTATTAGACAGCCTTCAGCTCCAGATCTCCTCTGAGCCTTAAGCCAGGTCTCCTCCTGAGCAGAGCAGTGATTTGTATGTGCAATTCTGCGGGTGAGGCAGGGGTGATTTAGAGCAGTGTCTGAAATGTGAAGGATATATTGCAGCCCACAAAATAGCTGCTTTTATGACCTAACAATGCTTAACATGTTATACCTGAAAGGTAGTAGAAGTGCAAGCAGGGACATTTGTAAGTTCATGGCCTGCATGGTGAAGGTTGGAGGGGACTGTGGAGAGAAGGAGGAGCTAGAGCTGCTGTCACCATGTTCATACTTAACATATATGGATCATGAGTGACCAGGTCTTTGAAGAGGAAGTGGTTAAGTCATTTCACAGGCTGAAACAGGCAGGCATATAGGAGCCTGCCTAGTAGCCCTGGGAAGGTGTGTTCCCTTTGTGATGGCACTTGGGCAGTTAACAGCAGCAATGTAGCATTATACAGTGGATATTGACTCCTGCCATGCAGTCATGTTCATCTGTTTTCTCACTGTGACACATCATGATTGCAGCTTGAAAATAAGTTAGCTTCATAACAGTGCTATATTTTGTTTATTAGTTTTATCTGCTAAAGTATAGCTAGAGTTTCAATCAACCTGTCTAGGCTATTGGAGACAGTAAAATTAGTATATCCCACTTTTCTGTCCACGTGTTCCCAGCATGGTCCTTTCACAGAATGTGTTGTCCCAGCTCTGCAGAATGCTGAAATGGTGATGTGGCATGGCTGAAAATGAATCCTATGAAGATAAAAGTTACTGGATCAGTCAGGTGATTGAGATACTCCTGAGGCTTTGTGGTTACTGTGATGACAAACGGAAACAAGATGGGACCATGTGTCAGAGGTTTGAGGGCAGAAGTTGGTGAGGAAGGGAACTTTTCTTTTAGAAAGCAATCAGGAGACAGAAAGGTCAAGCCAAACCACTACCAAATTAAATTGTAATAACTCAAAAAACCTACCTGGCACAAACAAGAATAGATCAGGTATCACTTCTTCGGGATCATGTTTGCAAAAAAATCCGAAGTTTTCCATCCAGTCAGCTAGAACACCATTAAGACAAAATGTTAAGATCCAAGGACAATTAAGCTCAGAGGAAGGAGAGATAGAACTCTATAGGCTCCTGCACAAAATCTCCTCAAAATTTTCTAAAAGAACATATGATAAGCAAGTGTAGAAAAACCATGTTGAATTAACTGTATCTCAACATCAATGTGAGAGACTGGCCTTATTTGTCCCTCTAATAAACATGAAAGTAAGAAATTCCTATAAGAAAATAATTAACTGTGAAAAATTAAAAGCTGTAATGGTATTGTTCTTAAAAAAATCTCTGTAGATAATAATATGAAAAATGCATCTAAATGTTCCATGTTTTTTTATTACCGTATATACTGATTTCAACTGGGATAGAGTTAATTTCCTTCACAGTGGCTAGTATGGGTGTTTTGGATTTGTGTTGAGTGCAGGGTTGATAATGTGGAGATGCTTTTGTTATTGCTGAGCAGTGCTTACACAGAGCCAAGGCCTTTTCTACTTTTCATACTGCCACACTGACAAGGAGACTGGGGATGCATGGGAGGCTGGGAGGAGACACAACCAGGACAGGTTACCCGAACTAACCAAAGGAATATTCCATACCATATGACATCATGCTCAGTATGATGAGCTGGGGGGAAGAGAAAGGAATGGAAGATTTGGAGTGGTGGTGTTTGTCTTCCAAAGTAACTGTTATGTGTGATGGGTCCCTGCTTTCCTGGTAATGGCTGAATACCTGCCTGCCCATGGAAATCAGTGAATTAATTCCTTGTTTTGCTTTTCTTGTGTGTGTGGCTTTTGCTTTCCCTATTAAACTATCTCTCAACCTACAAGTTATCTAGCTTTTACCCTCCTGTTTCTCTCCCTGATCTGACTGGTGGGGAGTGAGCAAGCAGCTGCATGGGCCTTGGTTCCTGGCTGGGCTTAAACCACAGCACCATATTATACAATAGTGTGGAGTATCTTCTTCAGAGAGGTTTTAATGTTTATAGCATTAAAGAGTCTGCACACAGTTGTCTCTCAAGCTGTTAAACCAAGTTCATGTCAAACAACTTGCAAGATTTCCCATTGGGATTGAATATTTCTGTTGCACTGTGTCTAGCACAATGTGTGCTCTGCTCACCTGGAAAGCAGTTTCCGTTCCTTCATGTCCCAAAGGAAGGTATCAATAAAAAACATCCTGCTGAAGACACTACTCTTTCATATGGAAAAGAAAGACTTTAGTTCAGGATTAAGAATAACAATAGAAATTCTCTTCCTTATTGTGTGGGTTTCAATCAAAATAAATTAATGTGTTGGATTGACTCCTGCAGTCATAAATTTTCTAATTTGAATTATTTTACATTGGTTGCCAAGAACTGAGTTGGCACTGGTGACAGGTTTTAAGACCCTTTTTGTACTTTCTAAGATACTGTGACAAAAGAGATTGAAGAAAGCCAAAGAAATTGCTCTTGTACAAGCAGAAGTTTTTGGTTTTGTTTGTTTTGGGTTTTTTTTGGTTGGTTGGAGTTTTTTGGTGTGTTGTTTATTTTTGGGGTCTTTTTTGGAGGTAGGGTTATTTGTTTGGGTTTTAGAGCACTTATCTATCTACTCTTTATACTTGATGTAAGGAGAATCAATCTGTAGTGTCCAGATCTATAAATAAGTGTCTAGAATAGTCACAGCCTTTTTTATTTAATATTCATGCTTAATGAATTGTGTTCTATTTACAGGTTTTATCTGGGGTGAAATTAAACAGATGTGGGATGGTGGACTACAGGACTACATTCATGATTGGTGGAACCTCATGGATTTTGTAATGAACTCCTTGTACTTAGCAACAATCTCTTTGAAAATTGTTGCATTTTCAAAGGTAAACTTTTTTTTTTTAAATTAGCAAAATTTTTAAAATAAATGAAATGAGGCTTCTTCAGTCTTTCCTCTGTATTTGGAGTTGCCCAGGTTTAGCAATGCAAGAGATGTATGATGTGCTCATTGCATCCTCTGCAGCAATGACAAGAAGCTAAAAGAGTATAAAAGCAAAGAAAACATTGGATTTTATGCTTTTTTCTTCTTGGCTTATGCAATCTTTTGTTATTTTGTCATGAACTGTCATACTGTTATTTTCTTGTAAAAGGAAAATTAATAATAATGTTTTATAATGTTTGCATACAATTATGTTTTTTGTTAATATTTCATTATTTTTCAGTAAGAAATTATTGCCCCTAAGACAGATTTATGCACCATGCAAAACTTGTGTCTGTTCACAAAGGTCCATATGTCAGCCAGTCAGGAGCAAGGATGAGCAAATACCTGGGATATGTTGACACACCAGACTTCTCCTTTGACAAAAGGTTTCTGGCATGCTGGGTCTCTGACTGCAAACCTTTGGAAGTCTCACTCAAAGAAATTTGGAGCTGTTACCTGAAAGAGGAAGGTGTTCCAAAATGTGGAAAGCTGTCATTTAAAGCTAATGAAATGCCTTTTTATACACAAGGATGCCTTATAAAGTGACTGGAAGATAAATAGTCATTTCACTTTCCTATGTAACAAAGTGAACAGTTCATTTAAAACAGATGTTTCTGAAGTATTGGAGTTGACCAGTTATTTACTTTAGAATAATATTAATTAGAAGACATTATAATCCTTTCATCTCCTAGACAGCTTCTGCTTACGATAATCACATTCCACGGTGACAGTATCTATGCATCCATTACTCTCCAAATTGGTGCTTAACATGTCAATGATAATCAACACAGTACATAAAGCACTCTTTGGTGCTGCAGCTATTATTTTTTTACTGCATGTTCAGTGTTGTATCTAAAAACCTTTTTGTTCCTTTAAAAAGCCTCAGTTTTGGTAGTCAACTGAAACACATGATGATATAATGAACAGAGTAATACAAGTGTGATTTAATACCCAGCCACATTTCCTTCACATACCTACAACAGAATTCATTACCAGTATGCCAGATGAGATTGAGAGGATGCCAAATGTAACCAGTATGTTTTGATGTAAAGCTTTAATTTTCTTTTCTTAAGCCTTGCAAGATAGGTTTTCCTAAGTTACAGCTTTTCTGTATTTATTGATTCAAATATATAAGCTCAGATGAATCAGCTCAAGCCATCTAAGAAAACATTTTGACTAGCTCTCTTGAATAAAATTACGAGTGCCCTCATGCTACTCTCCTCTGTGATAAGTATTCCCAGAGTAAAACATAGTGTTTATTGCCTATTTAAGTCTCTCTGACTGATACTGTAGTTAAGTAGATGGATATTTACAGCAGCCGATGGGATAGTGTAAAATACACCAAAGCATTTAATTTCAGGATGAGTGTACTGCTAAGATAAAGTTATCAGTTTCATTGCCAGTATTCAAATAAAATGAATACATCACATAATTTTTAAAGGGCTATGCTTTTTGTCTCTGTGTATCAACATGTGAGGTCTTACTAAATTATCCAGTATGTCCACTGAAAATGCTTTATTATCCATAAAAATGTCATAATAAACAATGCATTGTCCGACAGTTTTTGAAAGTACAAGATGACAAATTTTAAGCATCACATTTGTTTTGATGGAGGGTTATGGATAGAAATCATGGTGCTTTAGGAAAAAATGGTTCTTTTTATGGTTTTGGAAGATACTTTATTATGTACTGATGTGTAAAGTTAGGTGCAGTGCCAACTTCTATGCAGAACCTGCTTGCTTTATCTTAAATATTTGTTAAACCTGAACATTGGACCTAGTGCTGTTTCTTTCCAATTCTGCTAGAAATTACATGCAAGTTCATATTACTGATAATGTGTGTCAGCTTTGACATGAAGAACTAGTAGAGAAACATGTTGCTATTTAGGGAAAGAAGTCTGAAAAATAACTAAAGCTACATTATTTGTCTCAATATTTACTGGTGTAACGATCACTGTGTCAGGTCTACTTTGTTCAGTAGTAAATAAGATTATATATCTCCTCTGCCTCCAGTTCTGCAAAAGCTAACATCTTCTTACATATTTGCATTATAGAATGGTTTTGATTGATATTTTACCAGATTCATAGACCAAATGTCCATTTATATAGGATGATTAACACCCCTCTGTCCCTGAGAAACGGACTCAATTCTTCACTGTAGTTACCATTTTAAAGCCCTCTGCAAGGCCTCCTACCCCCTTCCTACTGCTGCTCTGAAATTCAGCATAATGACTGCAAAGATTGGGTCATACATTTTAAAATAGGAAGAGTTCACATTTACATATGATCTTTCAGGGAAGGATTTAAAATACTTTTCCTGAAATGAATATTACGTAACTTTTCTTTTTGTGATCAGAAACAAGGCGTTCACCTTTGACCAAGGTCCAACAGCCCATTAAACATTCAAGTAGCCTGATCTACATGTCTTTTTGATCTCTCTTGGTGCTTTTGTAAGATCTACAGATCATGTCTTTTGTTTTAATGTGAAACCGGTGATCACTCAGCTTTTTTCTCACAAGTGGTTCTGATATTAGGTTTGCATTAGAATTCCTTTGAGTAAGGATCAGTTGTTATCTTATATGCCCTGGGTGACATCGCAAAAGCATAATATATTTGCCTTGAAACTCTGTTGTTTATATGCTGCTCCATTTGTTTTTTGCTCTTCTTAATTTTCCGCTGATGTGCCATGTAAATTTCCTTCCACCAAGGAGCCAGTAATAGGTTTTATTTAATCACATTAAGTGATGGTTGGCTTTGTTACATGTCAAAAGGTCGTGTTTGCATTTCAACTGGGGACAGAAATTCATCAGGGTCACAAAGTAATAGAGGACTGCAGAGTATCAACATCAGGATTTACAGCAAGCTCAGTGTTGCTATATTTACTCTTACCATTTTCCATTCCTTAGAACAATAACCATTTATTTATTCTACATAGAACAGAAGAACATCAACAAACATGAGTGAGAGAACAAATACTTCAATTTTGCATGTTTTGGCTTCTTTGACCCTAAGATACAGTTTTTCTTCTTCTTTTTTCCTTTTTTTTTATATTATCACTGTTCCTGGTTTTAGTATACCTTGTCTTTTTGCTTCTCTTTTTTATCTTCCTTTTCACATGGAAGTTTCTTTGCTCTCTAGATGTTTTCTTGATATTTCTAGATTTCTTTTCAGCATCCTCTACTATAGTTAGTGAAATCAGTAGGTTTTTGTTGCTAGAGCCCTCTTATCCTCATTATTTTCTTTCTGGCTTCTTACAGTTAATATATTTCACAGATCATTTCCAAACTTATTTCTCAGGCCTTCATCTTTCTCGCTTTTTTTCCACCAAGTATTTCCAGTATCTTACATAATGTTTCTTCAAAACTAAAATAACAGCCATCACTCTCTGCTTACAACCATGACAGCTTTTGAATTGTATCCACACATGCAGGAAGCAGTTGGGCCCAAAAAAGGCAGAGTCAGTTAAACTGAAATAATATAGTTGTGCCTTTTATTCCCATTTTTACAAATAGGAGGTTATTTGATCTTTTTTGAATGTTTTAACAAACAAGTTTTGTGTCTTGATCCAGGACATCACAGACAAAGTCCTTTATTCTCACTTTTCTCCTCAACATCATTTCTTTTAGAAAATGTGACATTAGATACATCTAGCCAGACTACAGCTGTAAGGCAGCCTCTCCACTTCCCCAACCATCAATGAGGAGAAAATGAGAAACTTAAAAGAGAGCAACTCATCTGACCTGTTTGGGATATCCGCTTTCCTACTACTCTAGAAATTCTCATTTTTCTTTGCTGACTGTAAAACTAGGTGACAGAGAACACAGATATGGCTATCCACATCTGATTCATTAAACTTCATCCTTGCTCTCTTGCTATGTCTTATGCTATACTTATTAAGTTTCCTGTACTCCCATGTTTTTCTCAGTAGGGTTCCTTAGTTTTTTCCTATCTCCGCCTCTTCTGCAACGTCCTTGGAATCTACCACTACTTGCCCTCACCTAAAATATGTCTGCAGTTTGATGCTTTTGATTGTCTACCAAAACCCCCATTTCTTCTGAGTTCCAAATATGTTCTTTATTTTACTTTATTCCCCCAGTACACCCAGTGTTCTTTTCCCTAACCTGAGCATCTACTCAGATGCTCAGGTTTAGGTTCATCACCTAATCTTTGTTTGTACCAACAGTTGTTCCTAGTTATTTAATAGGTGCAAGTTTGCAGCTATGAGGGTTGTAAAGTGCCATGAGAATCTGCGGTACTGTGCTGTATAATATTATTCAAAGAAAAACATTATAGGAATCATGGTGAGAAATTTTCAGCTCTCTCTTCTCAATAAACATGGAAAAAATTTTCTTCTACTTTTTCTTTGTGTTTTATCTCTTAGCTGTTGTCTCTGTTAACTAAATTCTGTTTTCTTCTGCCTGTTTTTCATCACTGATCTTGAATCAATCAGAACTGAACTGAAGGGCAATAGTTGATGAGGCAAAAGAGCATGTCTCTTGAAGCTCTAATTCCAAATGCAGTAAGACTTGATTTTACAGCATGATCATTAGGGAGAGGATAGTCTAATGAAGAGAGTACCAATCTATGACTCCAGCAGGTCTAGATTTAACTCTCTGCTCTGTAGAGAACAAATATTACTGGTAATGAAATGTGAGGCTGAATAATTCTTAACTCTTTAATTGACTGTTCTCCTATTTTGCAGTTCTCATCTACAAATCCACAGACTTGTCAGCTGCTATGGCTGCTTGTATATGAGTAAATGAAATTGTGCCAAGGATTGCTGTCAGGCACTGGGACGGACAGTTGCACGTGCACTACCAGTCACTTAGAGAAACCCTGGTGTGGTGGACTACTGTGCAAACTATCAGTGTCCACAACAATGTCCAGTTCCCATTACAATTTGAATCCTAGAATCACAGATGCATAGAATAGGATGGGTTGGAAGGGACCTTTAAAGGTCATGTGGTCCTGTGCCTCTGTAATAAGCAGAAACATCTTCAGTGAGATCAGTCTGCTCGGAGCCCCATCCAGCGTGACCTTGAATGTGTCCAGGGATGGGGCATCTATCACCTTGCTGGGAAACCTATGTGTTTCATCACTCTCATCATAAAAAATTTCTTCCTTACATCTGGTCTGAATCTACCCTTTTTCAATATAAAACCATAAACCCATGTCCTATTGCTACAGACCCAATTAAAAAGTCTGTCTCCATCTTTCCTATAAGCTCCCTTGAAGAAGGCTTCAAGGGAAGGGAAGGGAAGGCTGCAATAAGGTCTCCCCAAAGACGCCTTTTCTCAGGCTGAACAACCCCAGCTCTCTCAGCCTTTCCTCAGAACAGAGGTGCTCCAACTTTCTGATCATTTTCATCTGGACCTGCTCCAACAGGCCCATGTCTTCCCTTTACTGAGGATGCCAAAGCTGGATGCAGGTGTGCAGTAGAGGATGTCCCTCTATTCTCACCAGAGTGGAGTAGAGAGGGACAGAACCACCTCCCTGGACCTGCTGACAGCACTTCTTGTAGCCCAGAACACAGTTGGCTTTCTGAGCTGTGAGCACATAATGCTGGTTCATGTCCAGCTTTTCATCTACCAGTACTCCAACTCCATCTCCTCACAGTCCCTTCATTCCCCAGCCTGTATTGGTACTGGGGGCTGCCACAACCCTGGTACAGGACTTTGCACTTAGTCTTGTTAAACCTCATGTGATTTCCTTGGCCTACTTCTTGAGTCGTTCACATCCCTCTGAATGGCATGCTATCTCCTTTTGGCACGTCAACTGCACCACTCAGCTTAGTGTCATCTGCAGATTTGCTGAGGGTGCCCTCAACCCCTCTGTCTATGTCATTGATAAAGATGTTAAACAGTACTGGTCCCAACACAAATCCCTGAGGGATGCTACTTGTCACTGATCTCCATTTCGACATGGAGCTGCTGTCCAGTTCTCTGCGGATGCAACCATTCAGCCAATTCTTTATCCACCAAAAAGTTCACACACCAAATCCATCTCTCTCCAGTTTAGAAAGAAGGATGTTGCAGGGGACAGCGTCAAAGGACAAAAGATAGATGACATCTGTAGCCCTTCCTTTGTCCACTGATCTAGGCACTCCATTGTAGAAGGCCACTACATTAGTTAAGCAGAACTTGCCCTTGATGAAACTGTGATGGTTGTCTTGAATCACCTTCCTGTCCTCCAGGTACCTTAGCAGAGATTCTAGGCGGATCTGTTCCATGACCTTCCCTGGCACAGAGATGAGGCTGACAGGTTTGTTGTTCCCAGGGTCTTCCTTTCTTCCCTTTTTAAAAATGGGTGCAATATTTCACTCTTTCCAGTCGCTAAGGACTTTGCCTGACTGCCATGACTTTTAAAATATCATGGAGAGTGACTTGGAAACTACATCAGCCAGTTTCTTTAGGATTCTGGGATGCATCTCATCAGGTCCCATAGACTTATGTATGTTCAAGTTCCTCAGGGGGTCTTGAACCACTCTGAGAGTCGTCACCTTCTTTGGAGGATGAGTGTACTGTTGAAATGATGTGGTGCCTGTGTTGTCTCATCTTGCCCCAGTGACACAAAGAGTCCCTTTCCTTACTGCTGCGAGCATGCACAGTAGCTTTGAAGGATGCATCTGTGTGGCCTAGAGTAGGTAAATACAGACTACTCCATAGTCTCTCTTTGAAAGGGGCTTTATATTATATTATCCCTTCTTTTTAGAGTGCTTCATAGCATAAATTCTGTCCTCTGATATGTTCCGTAAAACAGATTATTGAGATGAAATAAATAATAATGAGTCTGCCACAGTAGTTAAGCCTCAGTTCAAAGTAATATCTTTCATCTTCAAGAAATTTTTGGTAGAGCTGGAACAGGAAAGAGTCACAGTTCCAGGGATCAGACTTTTTGATAATGAGGCACACAAGCAGTTTGCCATGGTTCATTAATAAGCAGCTTTTTCATCATTGGTCTAGTATTAGTGATTAAGTGATATACTTATTCCTTGATTGAATGCTTTCTTCCTACTTGCCAAATTTTTTGTGGGTTTCTATCCATAATTGTCAACTCTGCACTGTTCTTCAAAGAAATCATTTACCTGATATTACAGTTGGAAGTTTCTATAATTCTAAAAATGAAGGTGTTCAAAACTGTTCCTTTTGTTCTGTCAGAATTTTTAGACTTGCTTTCGTTACTCTAAAAATTTATTGTGATATCTGCAAATTAACTGAACAGCTTATGAAGAAACTGGCATATTTGTTTATGCATAAAAATAGTGGAGTAATTTCTTCCCTTCTGCTTGTTTTCAGTATAGTGGGTTAGTTCCACGGGAGAGCTGGGACATGTGGCATCCAACCCTGGTGGCTGAGGCCCTGTTTGCAATCGCAAACATCTTTAGCTCCCTGCGCTTGATCTCGTTATTCACTGCAAATTCTCACCTGGGACCTCTGCAGATATCTCTAGGAAGAATGTTGCTGGACATTTTGAAGTTTCTCTTCATATACTGCCTTGTGCTGCTAGCTTTTGCAAATGGATTGAACCAGCTGTACTTTTACTATGAGACAAATGAACCTGGCAACTGCAAAGGAATACGATGTGAAAAGCAGAATAATGCATTTTCAACGTAAGTGTCTGATCTATTTCTATCCTTCCCTTCTGCCTCAAATATTTTAATCACTTTGATGTGGTTTACAGGAAAGAGGCTCCCTTTTCTATTGGTATTACACTGGTGTCCTGACAACCACATTTAATTTTACCCTAATTAAAAAAAAAATAAAAAATTAACACTACATCACTCTGTAATAACTTCACCCCATACCACAGTAAAGTCCATACAATCAAGATATCTCAAAAGATAAAAGGTAAAAAAAAGGTAAGAGGAAGATATATGAAAGTAGAAGGTACATATTTAGAATTAAAGTCACCAGATCAGAGGTTAATTATCCAGGCAGCTGTAACTCTGCATTTCTTCTGTGTCTACACGTGAGCATTAAATAAGTCTGCTATCTAACATGAAGATTTCTTGTAAATGTGATAAACTGACGCAGGAAAGGAACGTGCAGTCCAATCTTCTACTGACCCTACACACAATCAAATTTCTATTCTAATTTTTGATATAAAGAATTTATTTTTCTTTCACTTTAAGTCAATTTTACTTCATTCTGGTTTTTAGTTCATCTATAGTACCAAAATACTACCAAATTAACACTAATTCTCTATCTTGTCTTTCAACTTCCAGCCCAAATCAAACTCCTGCTATAAATGTCTGTTCCCTACTTACTTCTGTGTATCTAGGCTGTTTTTAAAATAAAATTATTACCAATAGCTTGCTTCTCAAGGTAGATAATTTTATAAAAATAGCAGCCTTTATGTCATATTAATCAACTATGTTTTCTCAGGCACAGCATATTTATCTTGCATATTAATAACATCTACGCAGGTCTAAATTTTATGTGATCTGAACAGAAAAGCACAGGGAAATTTTTCAGAGCTCAACTTTGAGGGAAGCAATATTATTAATTTGGGAAATAGCAGGGCCTACTGGTAGTAGTGTCAGAAGATGGTGCCAAGGCAAACTGTGATGAGCTTTTTCAGCAATTGTGGGGAAGGTAGAATAGTGGTTGTTCAATTTGTGCTCAGACAAGTGTAAACCATATAAGGGGCTCCAGAGTTGTACTTTACCACTCAGATACACCATGTTACAGGAGTAGAGATTCAGGACCTGCCCTCTCAGGTTCTCTCTCTAGGATAGAGCTGTACTGAGTTGCATGGAAACATTTCACAGATGATACCATATGGTGGGAAGGAGGCCAAAGGGTTACATTTTGTCCATCTCTGGACAGTACATCCCAAAGTGTGGGATGCAGGGTGATATGAGTCCCTGCAGTTCAGCAGCCTCCCTGCTCTAGGTGCAGTAGGGGTAGCACTGGTGGTCCACACGTCCTCTGTGGGTAACCTACTTCTGGTGTTGGGGTGAAAGAGCAGGAGAGAGGCCACAAGGAAGATTCAGTCCAGTTAATCTCAAGATACAGGCCTAGATATGCAGAAAATTTTGCTCCAAACTTTTGAGAAGCAAAGAGCATCGCTAGGACCATGCTTATAACACTATAGTGTAACTGAATATTGCACTAAAGTGAAAATTTTTCAACCTATCTAGGATTATTTTCAAAAGTTCATCATTTTTACTAGCTTCCTAACCATTGTCCTAAACTTCTCTAAGGGAATATCATATACTTTAATTATAAAAGAATGTTTCTTTTGAGAACAGCATGCTTTTTTCTGTCTCCCTTCTTTGCAAAACAAAACATATGCTAATGATACTAATGTCTTTCTAATTATACAACTCCTTTTATCTTAGTGACTCTCAACACAAATCAATATTGCATAAACTGACTAGGTATGAGGATACCAGACTTCTTCAACAACCTGGTGAAACACAAACATGGAGTAACTTTTGGATCCTTATTTTACCCCCTTCAGCCAAGGCAAAGGGTCAAAATGCTTCAAAGGAAGATGTCCATCATAAGATCTCTAAAACTGTATTTATCCCTCTGAAGTATAAACAAAATCAGTGTTTTGATGACAGGCTAATTTCTAGATTCTGTATTATACATCTAGAGGTTCAGATATGAAACATTAAGCTATTGTTTTGCTAGAAAGGTATTCCATCTATGTTGGCTTACTGTGGTAAGCACCATTCACCTCAGTCAAGTCAAGGACTTTTGTGTGTTTTGCAAAAAACTGAACAATCTGAAAACTAAATGTGTTTTATTATACAGCTATTCCTTTTGGGTTTTGTTTTTCAGATTATTTGAAACGCTGCAGTCATTATTCTGGTCTATATTTGGACTCATCAATCTCTATGTGACCAATGTGAAAGCAAGGCATGAATTTACTGAATTTGTTGGGGCCACTATGTTTGGTACCTATAATGTAATATCTCTGGTTGTTCTACTCAACATGCTAATAGCCATGATGAATAATTCTTACCAACTTATTGCTGTAAGTTGTTCCTTATTAGATCATTTACAATATATGCCTTCTCTCTGTTCCTAGATCCTGTTTTTCTGGCAGTAAAACATTTTACAGACAGGACATTGGGACAAATTTTCTGGTTTGATCTAGTTCTTTTGGACTTTTTTGGAAGGAGGCAGAAACCAGACCCAAGCTGGACTGGGTAGAGAGGTACTTCCTCACAACACTGAATAGGAAAGAGGTGACCCTTATGAAGAAACCAGCTTGTGGGTTGGGAAGGGTGTGCTGATGCTTCCGGCAAATGATGGACTTCAGCCCTGCCCAAGCTGCACTGTACAAGACCTCTTCTGAAAAAGAGACTGCCCAAGATTGTTCTGTCTCTGCTTTATATTTGTTAGCATTTGAAAGACTGTTATTTTTTTATTTTTATCTGGCGTGAATATACATGAATATACAGTTAACAGAAATTGGATACCCATGTGCCATGGACAATTTTGGACCCATTTGCAATTCATCAAAATTTCATGTCTTCTCGTTCAGCCATGTCCTGTTTTCTCCTTTAATGAAAACTATTTTTATCCTTGTCAGAGCTATTTGCTCATTTTTATTTCTCAACTGTCTACTAAGGAGACTATGGGAAATAAACACTGATTCATCATATGATAATTCAAATATGATCATGCCAAAAGCAAACAAATAAAAGAAAGCTTTGGTCTTAAGATTTTAATATGTGCCTTTTTTTTCTAATTTGGAAATTACGAGTTTTTCAAAAAGAAATACTAACTACCTGTATTTTTATAACACTTGTTGGCAATGTCTTGTGCACAATATCACAACACAGTACCATTCACCAAAACTTGGGCTGCAGGTAATATACTTTTGCTACTACAACTTCTAAATTTCTATGTTGATTACTGTATGGCTAGGGCTAGACCTGGCTACTGTGTTTGTTATCCAAATCCAGTATTAGTGATTTAAACTTTTTATTCAGCTGCTAAGATTTAGACATATTTCCATGGACTTTAGTTTTGATTTTTCCAAACTTTTCAGAATTATATAATACTATATAAAATCCAAAAGAAATAAAATTTCAAATAAAAGTTAAAAACCATCCCACAACCTATTCCCAATATAGAATTCTGAAGTAGAAGGAAAAAAAAGATACTTGCCTTAGCAGTTTTAGTAGCCTCATGATTTGTTGGATAACTTACTTGTGAATTTCGGGTGCTGACAATTACTGAGAAAACTTACTGACTTGTTGAAGCTGCTGCAGAGCAGTGTAATTAGACTGATCTATGTGGAATAATGATGTGTTGCTTTTATAATAAAACATTTGTTCTAGAAATGTAGTATTTTTCTGCTTGTTTTTCCTAGAGACTTTTAATAATTTAAATGCTCGTAACAGGGAAAGAAATGCTTATAAGTGGATATATACTTTACATACCGAGCATCTCGTTACCGAAGTAAAGCAGCTTAGCTTTGCTTTGCGCTAAAGACCTTATTTCAAAGAAGATGGCAGTATTTTAGCAAGACAATTCATTAGTATTTCAGGGTTATTCTAGTTTTAGTTTTTCAGATTTTTGTAGAGGTTTGTTTCACCTTCTTAATTACAGCAATATCTATGTTGATGTTGTGTTTCTGGTGTGCAGGATCATGCAGACATTGAGTGGAAGTTTGCTCGAACAAAGCTCTGGATGAGTTACTTTGAAGAAGGAGGAACTCTGCCCACTCCTTTTAATGTCATACCAAGCCCAAAGTCTCTGTGGTATCTGATCAAATGGTTATGGAGACACCTTTGCAAGAAAAAAATTAGAAGAAAGCCTGAAAGTTTTGGAACAATAGGGGTAAGTAATGGAATTTACTCTGCCTTTAGTCTTCCTCTTTGCTATTTAGATGAGCCTTTCTCAGCCATATAGAGCATCCGAACAGTCAAATAATGTGCATATGAGTTAGAGAATAATTCTAGTAGAGAATGTTTACTTTTTACATTCGTGTCAGTGTATTTTACTGAAGACAAATCATCATATCCCTGTGCAATGGCAATATGAAACATGACTGTGCCTTTTTTAGAGATAATTCAAGAAAGATTAAAAGTGATACAGAATACAAGAGATCAAATGTGTATACTTGTCTACCAGTCCCAGAATTTTTGGTTGATGATCTCCAGCTCCAAGTGCTCAATTATCCACTGTTCAGGTGTAACTGATGTATCATGAACCACAGACTCACATATAAAGTATTCGTCATGGGATATTCTCTGTGTCTCTGTTTCCTTACATGTAATGAAATAGGTTTACCATAAAAACATTCTTACCAAAAGCTGTTCTCATTAAAGAAAATATTTTGAAAAGTAACAACATTTACCTGGACTCACTTACTTGAATTTACAAGTAGAGTTATTTCAGAATCACATTGGTATGCTATTCTAATAGTGCTGGTTAGCAAGGAAATTTCTAGAGAAAAAAAAATAGAGGGGAAAAGATACATAAGGAGACTGAGAATAGTCCTGCACCTGGATTGAGCAGGTGCCTGTGTGATATCTCAGACGCATACTTTCTCTGGTAGCAGGAGGTAAAGCAAATTTGAATTTGTCCTTTGTAACTTCATCTAGTTGAGATAGCTCAGTCAGCAACACAGTTTTTCTACCTTGTCAGAGCAAATATCCAGGCAACATCCTAACCCACCAAGAACTAAATCTCTCTAGTTATGTTTTCTGTATTTCCCAAGAGCAAGTCAGTACCTCAGTATCTAGACTGCATTTAGGCAACTCTAGCATAAAGAAAACTGTTTTGGGTGAGATGTGAATAGTGGCACTTTCCCTATATCATAGGGGTTTGGTGAATATAAATTTTTTCAAGTCTGTTAGGAACTCAGATAGCCAAGCATTAAGTGAGAGTATGAGTCAAGTGTGGGTAAGGGGAAAAAGAAAGGCATGTAGTCCTCATGCTGTTGACCCTGGTAGAAAAACTTCCATCCATTTCAAAAAAGCCAGGGAATATGAAACAATTCTTTGATGGACCATTAGTATATCAATGTTTTCTTTGTTTTTCTTCACTGTTTCTTGATAAGTGAGTAATAAGGATAGGTTTTTCCCACCTATTCTCATGTCATATCCTGGAATTCAGTTTGATCCGGAGATATACTTGGAGGAACAAGTTTACATGGGTGTATAGACATATGATAAAGAGGAAGAGTGACATATAAAACTAATTCACAATTACTGTTACTACTGATGAATGAATTTTGTCCTCTTTGTAGGAAGCTTCCAATCAGGCTTATTGCAATATACTGATCTCGTTGGCCAGTATCTATGTTGTGAAAGCAAAATTGCTTCACTTAGCTGTCATACTTGTACATAGCAAAGAAACAGCTAGAAACAGAAGATTGTAAGCATGAGAATGACATTAAAACAAACCAGTAGTGGACTACAAGAAACACACACTGAATAAAACTCATTAAAATTAGTATGAAAAAAGTAGTGAAAAGAGACAAACAGTGATTCATATAGAAATTTTAAAAAGAACATGAACTACCATAAGTGGGGAATAATTTCAAGGATAAACATCTCTGTGTGACATAGGAAGGAAAAGAAGTAAATGAAGAGACTTATAGGAAGAAAAATTATGAGATTTTGTTAGAAAGAGAAAATCAAGAGAGAGAGTGATGTACTTGTGTGTGTGGGAGAGCGCACAATGCTTCCAGGCATTTGTTAAACATTTGGCAGTGATGATTAGGTAGTGTAAACTGATAGAATGATATTAAACTTAGTGCCATGATGCCAGTGTATAGCAGAGGGTTGGAACAAAATATCCCTGTTTGACTGAGATGCATCCAGAATACCCTTATACGTCCCAGCTAAACCTTCAGAACAATATTTTTTGTCAGACTTTCCATCCACAATAAGGATTTTTTTTTTCCTTTTTCTTACCCTCTCAAACTGCAGATCTGTGGGTAAACTCATTCCTGGATCTGCGGAATAATAAAGAAAAATACAGGGTGCTCCCAGCCCTATGTTGAATGGCATGATGAGAAAGGGGATTCAGAAATATCACCTCCTGCTTTCCTACAGCTACCTCCTGCTAGAATAAATAAATACCACCTTCTAGAAATCCACGTCTTAGATTTGGAAAAATTGGTGCAGCAAAGAGTCAAAGGGCAGGCACTCTACTCACAGAGCTGCTTGAGAATTTTTTCAAATAGAATTTTCAGGTTTTTTTATGAATAAAAATTAGAAAATCTGTAACCTCTAAGCTTTTTCATTAATAAAATCCAGTTTCAAAGAAGCTTTTGTCAAAAAAGACTTTTCAGCTTCAGGATGGAATTTCTGTTTGAAGAAAGAAGGAACAGGTGCCATGTAAAGCAAATAGCTTGGGCTAAGGGAGACCCAGGTTCACTTCTATTCTCCAGTGGATATTTAATTATTTACCCCAAGCATAACAGCTCTGGCAGGAGAATTTTCCATCTCGAAATCTTTAAGAGCCTGCAGGGGTTAAGGTTCTGTCTTGGGAGAACACAAGAGAAGGAGCTGAACCTGGCTTCCTCATGATTTGAATGTGAACCACTAATTACTAAACTGTTTGAGTGACATTCTTAGTTAATTTCTGTAAAGTTTTTTAAAAAATGGTTTGATGAAAGTGAATTTCCAAAGCATGTGAAACAGTAGGGCCATAGCATCACTAGTTTCCCCTGCAGAATAGGTACTTAGTTGGAAGTAGAGCTGAAACCCCTCTGAAGCAAAGAACTCACCAGCAGAACCATCATGGCAACCAGACTTCCAGCTGTCTGGAAAAAGTGAGTGACTGTGGCTTACCAGGCAGATTCAGTCCACCATATGGGCATCTCATAAAACTACAAAGTTCTTCAGCTATCTACTCAGCATGACAGAAGCCCGATTAGGGCTATCTCAATTTGGAACATTTTGCAATTTCCAGGCCCAGTTGTGCACCCAAACTCCAAAATGGAGTAAGATGTGGGTATGCACTGTGTGCTCTGATTTCCACATTAGATAGATGCAAACCAGATTGTGTTAACTGGATGTTCCCCAAGAGGTGAAGTCATCAGAGAACAAATGGACACACTGCGGTGATCTAATAGTTTGTCCTGGGAGAACGCAGTGCTTTCTGATTTTGAAAAACTTATTTCCATCACCCACAGTTCAGCCTTGTTTTCCTAGATCTTTTTCAATTGTCCCAACAAGCTACATCACAAATTAAATTTAGAACCTCTATGCCCTTTGAACCAAAAGTAAATGAAGAGTTTTCTTTACCTTTTGTTCAAGGATCCCAGGTGACAGCTCTCTGACTCTGCCTCACTGGAATCTCCCCTGTAATGGCTTTGGCCTCAGAGCTACAAGATAAGCTTTGTTGGGACCTACTCCTTTTCACTGAGTCCTGCATTATAAACTCCGATTCCTTCCCTACAACCAATACTGGAAAAAAACCAAACAAAAACACTATAAACTGATTTTCTTACATTAGCTGTATGGATATATAGAAACCATGTTGTCTGTAAGGAAGAACTCAGATGTCAAACCGTTTTGTCCTGAAATCTCTAAATGTTAAATTTCCTATCAGGAAGCGCTAATCCATGGTGATATACTATGGTGTTTTCCAGTAGGAAAAGCACTAGCATGCATCCAAAGGGTGAATCAGTCCTAGAGGATGCAAAACAGATAATAGACAGAATGCAACTGCAAGCATCATGCATGATCTCTGCACAAGAAACCTTAGTACCAAAAATCCAGGAATCACAAGCTAGGACTACTGAATCAAGGATATATTGCATGTCTCAGCAATCTACTGTAAAATTTTTATATGTGTACACCTGAGAGTTCAGTATATGCAGACAGAACATGTAAAGAAAGGGTTCAAGATCAGGATAGTTTGCAGCACACGTACTAGTGAAAGGATTTATCTGGCTCATAGGGAGAAGAGAAGTGTCAGTAAAAATAAGTATGACGTGGTTGCTTGGGAGGATCATCTACATTGCTGTTTATAACAAAACTATCATGGGAAAGAACAGGGTCTGTAGGGTTGTGAGGTACCTCTGAAGAAAGCTGATTAATTTGCTTCTCTTTGGATGTCAGTTCTGTGATTCTTCCATCCTTTGTTGCTCTTGGACACGTGAAGCGGTGGGTGGTGAAGTCAAGGGGAGGTTTTTCAAGGGAGAGGTTTTTTCTCCAAAGCAACACAGTGCACAGCCATGCTGATGGCAGCTTCTCTAGCCATAGTTACATCTGAAGGAAAGCCAGGATGCTTACATGTGATTTACTAGGATTTCAGTTCTGCTATGAATCAGACAGAGCTCTTCTACCATTCAGAGTTCAGCATATTTTTATGTTCTGTCATTTTGACATATCCCAGGTATGCAGCATTCTCTTTAGCTATTATCACAGTTATCTCCTACACTTAAAACTCTGAAATAACAATGTGTGCTGCTCTTTATATATATATGTGTTTATATATATATCTATAAAAATTTTAGCTCTTGCAAAAGTCAGATTAGTAATATAACTCTATTGATTATGCTGATGTTTTCCTGACTTTGGGTTTGTCAAGGCTACTCCTGTTGACCATCTGAAATCCAATGCTATTTCAAAAAAGAATATATATAGGAAAAGAAACCCTAATCCCACTGGAATAAATTTTACTGTTTTCCTCAAATTGCATTCTCTTTTATGCCTGATCAGCCACCAAAAAGTGTCTTACCTTTTTTTAAGTATTTAAGAGGAGAAAATGGAAAGGATTTGTCAGGGATATCTTCAGTAAATATTTTTTTTGTGCATCTGGTGTTTAGGTAAACTGTTACCTCTTTTCTTGCTATCCAGATTTTTATGCCATTTTCCAAGTATCCTACCTGATTTTATTATCATTTGTCAGAGAAAATCTCCTTTTCCCTTCTCCTGTTCTTTGTTATCCCAGTGGAAAATGATGCAACTTCTAAGTGAATATAAGCATTTTCTATTTTCTCTGTAATGTATGTTATGGAAAGTTGAGCAAAGAAATACCTTCCACCTAGCATGGAAATTGGTAACCTGTAGTGTTTGTTGTATACCCAAGGACCATCTCATGGAGAAGCCTCTTTGTCAACAGAGATAAATTCTAATCCTTTTTATGCGATGCTTCTGTTCAAGATGAGGAATATATCCCATGACTTCAGACAATAGTTTTTTGGACCTTAATTACTAACTAGTACTTAGTAATTACCAAACATTTTCTGGACCTTAATTACCAAGTATTTTGAGGTCAAATGCAGACATTAAATTTGAATTTTTGCTTTATGAAACACTTCAAAAGAAGTAATTCAACATTATCAAATTTTTACTGCTAAAGAGATTTTTCTTCCAAACAATGCAAATTACTAGGAACAGCATGAATAGGAAGACCAAAATAAGTATCACTACTAGCAGAACTACTGTTAAAGCTTCCTAAAGGACATTAGTGCCCCCTTTTGGAAAGTGACAACAGTATCCCCTTCAATTTCATTATCTCATTCCACATTTGTCATTAGAAGAGTGTTTCTCCCTTGTTGCTATTTTTAGGCAAATTTAACTTTCATCCCTTTGTCAACCATAGTTTTCAACTTTTTCAGGCAGATAGCACAATGATTACTCAAAACAAATTTTGAACCACAAATTAGACTATACCTGGGTAGAGGAAAGCAGGCTGAGAACTGAATGAGGACAATATTTTAGTGACATTTTATTTATAGTGAATAGCTTGATTTTCAGATGTGTTTGGGCAAAGATTCATTCTGCTTTGAAAAGAAATCAAAAGATGATTATGAACTGGAGGCTGAATCCAAACATTTAAAGAGGAGATAGAAAACTGATGGGGTAATAACTTTGATAAGTTGCTTGTATGCATAATTTCATGTGCAGCATGTGTGTGGTTTTATATGAAAACATACAATGAAATCAATTTTCTTTCAGCTTCTCAGTGGTATGGAAAAATAAATCTTTTTAGATAGTCATCCTAAATTGCATTTGTTGGCATTTCATTGAGTGCAAAAGCCACAGCCTCTGTTTCTGGGAGTTTCCAAAGTGGTTGCAAAAAGAAGATAAGCAAGGTATTTCTTGTTATAGGTACAGAATTAAACTTATACATTTATTTCACATTTGGCTGTAATCCAAGCAGAGCAGACAGTAGCTGCAGAAAGTATTCTGCCAGACAAGAATCAGCATTTGTTTTATTTATGAGTTATTAATTTTACCTGAAGTGTGTTTCAATTACACTTGAAGTGTTTTTCCCTTTATCCATGAGTCAGATTTGTTGTTGAGAGCTCTCTTAGCCACCGACTCCCTTAGTGCTCTCTCAGCAGGAATGAAACATCTCCATCGTGTGGTCAACTGCAAAAAATGAGTTGGTTTTTTTTTTCTAAAAAACGGCTACAACTGCGTGTTGGGAGGGTATCAGCCTTCCCATGGCTACCTTGCCCCCTCTGGCCCCAGTGGTGGGCAGACTAACGCATTCCTCCACCCTTTTAAACACAAGGAGTTTCCATCTTCTCTTTGGATGAGGTATAGATACAGAAGTATGATCTTGAAAAATACTGAAGACAAGATACTTGTGTATAAAGCCCTCCCCCTGGCTGTTCAGACTGATTAGGAAATAATGATTTTCCCCCTATTATTTTTTTTCCAAGCCTAACCACACAGCCACTGCATCCCTCAAATTAATTGCAAACAAGAAATCAACCTTGAAGTGTAAACTGACTCTAACTACAGGGAAATTGGTAATCACTTCTTTCAAATAAAAGAAGATGACAAAATAACTTACTGTGTCTGCCTCATTATGCAACTGAGGTCAATTTTAACAAGTCTCTTGGATGTCCTTTTACCCTGTTTTAAGCTGTTGTAAGTGTTCCATTTTGTAGAAATACAGTCAGTGGTCAGACACATTCTTTTCTTGTCAGCAGCAGATATAAGAACCCAAGTTAAAGCTGTAAATCTTTCTTTCACCAGTCAGGGATAATTAAGGTAGAGGACAGGGATATGTGACTCAGTATGCAAGTGAGGACAACAGTAATTAAAGGAAAAAGTAATTCAGACCTTTTTTTCTCCCTCTGTCTTCTCCTGGACAGCCTCTAGATATGGCAGTATAATCTAATTCAACACCTGCTTGAAACCTGTACCATTATTTCATCCGACCACATTTCTTTTTGCTGCTCCTCTTCAGAGTTACTGTCCCATTTGCCCTTCTTCCTTATCAACACCTAGCTATGTTGAAAGCTAAATTTCTTTCTTCCATACACCTCTCTGTGACTAAGTGCTTCTGACAGAGAACTAAGTAGGAATTTTCTCTCTGATATAGTTTATGGTTAGCTTTATCTTAAATGAGACATTAGGAGCCATAGCAAGTGTCTTGCTAACATCATGGTTTTACTAACGCCACTGTGTTGATGGTTTTACTAACGCCACTGTGTTGATGATTTTCCATACAGAATTTCCCTTCCTACAGCTCCTGTCTGTTGACTTCTGTTCTTTTGCTGCGCACCTCTAAGAAAAATCTAACTTGATACAAGTCAAACTTTTCTCAATTCAGTAAAATATTCTTCAGCCTGTGCAAATGAGTGACATGATTCCATTGTTCCCCTTCTATCTTAGATCAGAGACCTTGGGATCAGAGACTCTGGCAAGCAGTGACCTGGGTACCCACCACATCCATGATAATGCTGGAATAACAGCATTTTGATGAAAATGTAGAAAATCCTCTTCCCAATAGCAGCATTCTCCCTTCTGTAAAGCAAATAATAAGCTTTGCTCCAACACTGTCATTTTTCAAGACTTTGAACCATTTCTCACAGCTTGGTAGATACCTTATAATGCACAGACCTACTGTTTTGCTGTGGCTAAGTATCTTGCTTCTAGACAGGGATTAATTTTTGGTTTTTCTGTTTTCAGAGACGTGCAGCTGACAATCTGAGAAGACATCATCAATACCAGGTACAAACCTGTGTTTACTTTTGGGCATTCTTTTTGCTATGCCTCCAGAATGTTTTCATGAGGGAAAAAGAAAAAAAAAAATAAAGGAAGAATTTAATGAGAAAGCAGAAAAGAAAAATAAAAGATAACACAAAATGCATACTTATTTCACCTTAGCAAACGAACTTAGTAATTTTGGTGTTCAAAAAAAGCTTTTGAGAAGTATGGTTGTCTTCTTTTAGGAGCAAAAGGGTATTTTCTAGAGCAATAACGTGCTAACCAGTATTTTGTCCACTGTAACATGGAGTGCCTTTAAAAAAAGCAAACACATAGCCCCAACTCCCTACCAGGATTCATCAGGAGTGTATATGCAACTCACTGATGTGCTCCAACCTGCTCTTCATCTCTCCAGCTCTAGTCCCCCATAAACAATTTCTTTTCCCTTAATAACCCCTCTACCTGGGGTTATTACAGGATCCCCTGTAATGAGTTCTTAATCCTTCCTTCTTCAACTTCTGCTTTTTTGATATTATTGTAACACAATGAATAATTTTCATCTTTATTTTGAATTTTGTTGTGTTAAAAGGGCGGCAAGTTAAACAACATGTAGGCTGTAAGTTTGGTAATAATGAATTCCATATGGGAAATAACTAGAAAAACTAGGACTTTTCCAACCTGAAAAAGAGACAACTGTGGAAAGTAAAACAGGGATCTGTACAATTATGGGGAAGGTGAACACAGAGCAGCTGTTTGCCGTTTATCCACAAACTGAATACCACACACGTACTGTGCTGCATTAGTAAGGCTGTAGGTAGCCCTTTGAAGAAAGTGATTATTCTTCTCCAGCCCACACTTGTAGGACTCTCTCTGGAGCCGTGTGTTTGGGCCCCACACTACAAGAGAGATGCTAACAGACTGGAAGGAATCCAGCAAAGGGCCACCAAGATGGTTAGAGGACTGACAAAAAAAAATCTTGGATTTCAGCCTGGAGTTGGTTAAGAGGAATATAACTGCTGTCTTAAATAACATAGTGGGTGGTTAGAGAGAATGAGCCAGATTTTTCTTCAAAGTACACTGCAAAAGAACAGGAGTCAGTGGGCACAAATTGCAGGACGGGAAATTCTGTAAGGTGAGGAGAAACATCCTCACAGTGAGGGGAGTAAAGAATTGGAAAAAGTTGTTCAGAGAGGCTGCAGCTTCTTCACCCCTGGAGATATTCAGCATTTGACTGGACATGGCCCTGAGCTAAGTCAGACAGCCTCCAGGCATCTTTTTTGACCTAAGTAGTTTCTAGGATTCTTAGAAGTAGAAGGCAACAGTGGTAACTATCAGAGTTCGAGTTAAAAATGAATAAAACCCCAAATGGAATCTTAGTCCAGCTATACTGTAGAATTAATTGGCAGAGGATTTCTGCATACTGAAAGTTTACATGAGTTCAAAATGCATAGAAAAACCTGTCACAGCCAGTTAAACCTGGAACTGTCATTTCTGATTCAGAAAGTCACTGAATCTCACAGCTCGGGAGGCTTGAGAGAGAATATCTGGAAATAGTGTTATACAGCCACACTAGACTTAATCTCCTCATGAGGCATCAGCAACTGCTAAGTGTCAGGCTGCACATTACTGGTATGAGACATACCCTTGGTCAACCAATATAGCCCTTCTTATGATAGTAAACATTAGTACTTTCCATCAAAAAGCGGAACCAATTTCTAAACAGATCTAAGGCTTAAACATTTTTTGTCATGTTCCTAAAACACAAAAATAGCCCAAGCAGAACCAATGAATGTAAGTTTAGTAACTAATACCAAGAAACCTAACACAATGCTTTATATTTTTAGGAAGTTATGAGAAATCTGGTTAAGAGGTATGTTGCAGCAATGATAAGAGATGCCAAAACTGAAGAAGGATTGACAGAAGAAAATTTTAAGGTAGGCATTTATTTTCATGTTTATAGGTGTTTTAGTGTTTTAGTAAGATATTATAAGACTGTGAATCATATTTCTCACACTCAGTTGTTCAGGTAGCTCTAGTAACTTTCTAGAGCAAGTTCTTCTACCTTGAAAATAACAGGTATTATCCAGATGGTGAAGTTTATTACTAATTCCTGGCATAAGCCTTTTTTTCTCTCTTTTTTATTTTTTTTTAATTACAAAAGGAAAAGTCAAATTAGCTTTCATGCTCTGATGTTTCATCTTTCTTCCTAATTTTTAGGAGTTAAAACAAGATATTTCCAGCTTTCGCTTTGAAGTCCTGGGTTTGTTGAAAGGAAGCAAGCTGTCTAATTTGCAGACTGCAAAGATGAACAAAGACGCTGCCTCTCTGTCAGAAAATGAAGAAAATAGTGAGAGTGAAGGAAACAAGAAAGGAAAGAAAAAACCCTTCAGCCTTTTTGACATAACAACGATGATTCACCCACGATCAGCCAATATTGCCTCTGAAGGGCATAATGTAAGCAATGGCTCAGCAATGATGGTGTCAGAGTCCACTCAGGAGAAACAAAAGCGTGTGAATTTTGTAACAGACATAAAAAATTTTGGGTTGTTTCACAGACGATCAAAAACAAACTCTGTGGAGCAGAGTACAAATAAAATATACACTGTTTCTGAAGAGGTTTCCCGTCAACAGGCAGAAGAACAATGTGAGAAAACTGATGAACTGGAACAGGGAGAGTTGACCATGAACTGTGAATTAAATATCCAAAATCCTGACAAAAAATGTATGTTAGCTGATTCACAAAATAACAGCAACTCTTTGGATTCACAGGAAGAGGGAAATATTTGTATTTTAGAAACAGAGAAAATGGAGTTACAGAACTCAGAACCTGCCACACCGCAGGATCAGCTGGACAAAGCATTAGATATTAGCATTGACTCTGCTGGAAAACAGGAAACAATTATTCAGGGTGACTATGTGATAACAAGGTTGTGATGCTTACAGGAGGAAGCATTTACAAATATATATATTTTGCATAGTGCTTTTGGGGAGGGGGGAATGTTTTAAGAATTATATTAGCAAATGCAGAATTACACTTTATAGTACTCAACTGTGGCACCTGATCTTGTAACATAATAGTCAAAAGAAAGATAATATGAGGACCTTCTGTTTTGTAGCCTGCTTTAGCTTTCACGATTTGTTTTACATTTTTTAATAAATGGAAGCATCTTGTATTCTTGTACTGTTGCAATAACCCACAGAAACTTTTTAGCTATCTTTTTCAATTACAACAAATGCAATTTCTCTCATATGATAGTTGACTCCTATGATAAATATTTTTCTATGCAAATAAAAAGTAGCTTAAGAGACTTGTAAGCCTTTATTTAACTTTGTAGGTTCTTAAAATATTCTGGGCATCATAACAATCATACGTGGCTCCTGTCAGCATAATTCATGTCAAGCTATTAGAATCATTTATTTAAATTGCTAGAAATTGAATTTGTTTCAAAAGCTATACAGAATCAAAAGATAAATTATATTCTTTTATTTATTGAAGGAACATGAATACCTGTAAATTATGAAAGATTGGTCTATGATTATTTAATTACAGCTTCTCCCTCACAGCAATAGGAGTATCACTGTCCTGATACCATTGCTAAAAATGCATTTGCAGGGTTTGAAGACTGTGAAAAGTGTTTCTTGTAGGAAAAAAATATCTGTGGTTTGCTAAAAACTGATGATGGATTACTCCCCAGGAATCTGTAATCACCACAGTTATTGCTTCTTCAATGATTAATTTTTCCTAACATGAACAACCTATGCACTTTAATATTCAGCTGCTTATTAGCTTTTGCCTTTACAATACACTTGCATTTGCTAAGAGAAAGATAATTCAGGACTAAGCAAGCATACAATGATCCCCTGAATACCTGGAAAAATATGGTAATTTTTGGAGAAGTTTTAAAAGGCAAGCCTTAAGAGAGTTTCTTTGACAATTTAAGAATTTGGGGGAACCTGATTGGATGTTTTATAAAAAATACCTAAATGTATAAAGAAAACCTGATAGTATTTTTAATAACTGATGAGTGAGTTATTGTCTTAGTCAAAACCAGTATTTTTTAAATTAAACAGTCTGTTTCTTTTTAATTGTTGACTGGTGTCCTACATTATTAAAAATGTAATTTTTAACTGGCCTAAGAATGACCACCATCGAACTCTCATTCTTTTCCTCCCTGAATATACCACATAACTTAACTTCCCTAGCCCTGCCATGATAGATTTTGTAGTTCATATCAGCCTGTATTAAGAAAACTCCAGATGCATAGTGTACATTTACATTTCAGATTAAATGCATCACATGTTGCTTCCACCTTGTAGGAACTGATCCAAAGCCATATCGTTCTGGATCTAAACTGTCCTGGTGCTGAACTGATTTTTGAAAATCCAGGCAAATCCCTCTCATGTCTATACTTTACACTTGTGCTACTCTCTCTGAGCTCACATATTGAAAGCTTCCTTCCTGCATATCTGTTTGTGTCATGGCAGATACAGTTGAACCAAAGTGGAAAATATGAGCTGTAATTGGAAAATAGTTTGTATAGCTTTGCAGCAATGCGTTCAAACCATATTTGATTCATTAATTTCCATCTTGGCCTCTTGACTGCTCTGTAGACCCTCTCCACGTCTCCTTGTCCACCTTTAGATTGTAAGCTCCTCGGGGCAGGGCCTGCAGCTTTTCTGTTTGGAAAGCACCTGAAATATTACAAGTATAAAGAGAAATAAATAATAAGAAGAATGGTGGAATACCTTCATATCATTTTTATTAGGTAAACTCTTAGAAAGTTCTCTCTTCTACTGTATGCTAAAAATGCCGTAAAGCAATTGTGTCCCATGTTGTCACAAAGTTTTTTATATCCAAGTTAACAGTCATTCTCCACCACTGATTTCAGTTTCTCATTCTTCATCACGGTTTGTAACACTTTTGAGTCCTAAGCTTACTACCCTTTCACTAGCCAAATTCAAAACAAACAGTGCTTACTCAAAAGGGCTTTCAATATATTCCAACCTCATGGTCTCACTCCAGATAAAATGTGCCCGATCAGGGTATTTGTAATGCCAACATCATCATTATCAGAACAAGTTAACTACCACAGGTCTGACCTCTGTGTATTATTCTGTCATCGTTAAAGCCTGTGCCTCCTGTGCATGAAGTTCCCAGCAACATACAGTTAACCTGAAACATCAGCCACACCATTACATGCCCACCCCACTGTGCTGGGCATCAGTCTAAGTCCTGGAGTAGATACAAGACAGAACAGTGAGGACATCACAGGTGGGCAGGTTACTTAGTCATAGGGACATGAGGTTCCGTTGCGTAGCAATAGGTGGTCAGTTTTCTGCTGCCTTTTTTTTTTTTTATAGCCGAATACTGAAACATAGGTCTATTAGATAAAGCATACTCAAAATCAACATTTGCTCTATTTTTTGCTATTCTTAAGCATCAGAGCTTGACACCAGCAAGGACTGATGCCACTCCATTTAAATTTAGTGGCAACTAAGTACCTCATTCTGTGAAATATATGAGCCCAAAATATATCCTACATTGAAATGGTACTTTTATTGCTTTGCAGGCAACCAAAAAAAATCCCAAACACTTCTCATTGGATGCCTCTCAGAGGACATCTGTGCCAAGAAGGATTTAGAGGTGCAAAGAGCAAGGTTTGTAATGCCATGGTAGAGGTTTTATTAAGCTTAGCAAAACTGAGCATACTTTCTCCTCAAGAGAAATAAAAATTTCAAACCTACCTGTCCCTTCCTGCAGCTTCCATTAGCATCAGTATAGGAGGAACCGGGATATAAACCCCTGTGAAAGACAGTCTTTTGAAGCAGAGTTTAAGATCTTGAAATGTTTCCCAGAGCTAGAAAATTGACTAAATAAAAGGTGTTTAATCCCAATATTAGGTTGTTAAGAATGTTAAAAAAACTTTGTTTAAAACATTTTTTAAAACTCTGCATGCTTCAATGACCCTCAAGGGCACTGCAGAGGTGAGAGCCATGCATCATAGGGTTCAGACTGAAGGGTCCTGTGAGCCAGCTGCAGACCACAACACTATCTAAATGTGCTACAATATCCCCAGAGAGCAAGCCAGGTAGATGCCTCTTCGGGGAGGAACCATGACTCTGCAGTTGGTTTTAATCTTGCTTTCTTGGTCCATAGATTTGAGACCATTACATTGACTGGTGTGAGTTTAACACCTCATACAGCCTTCTTTTTTTTTTTCATAGGTCAGGATTTAATGGGAAATTCTATGACTTTCCTAGTTTGAGTTTTTCTGTGAATAATTAGTGCCTAGTTACAGGAGAATGTATATCTTCAACATAGTTATAGCTGTTGGGAGCTGTAAAAGGTGAAGTTTATGGTATTTGGGCACTCAAAATTCTTCAACAGAATGTTTGATACAAGACTGTCTTCCTTAACAGCATCCTTTGACTAAGCAGAACTCACGAAAAACTCTTCCACTGCATGGAATCAAGAGTTAATTCATAAGAGCTTGCATACTTTCTTCAGTGGAACTGAAAAAGCGAGAGTAGCCTCAGCTATATCTGTTTCATGTACTCAGCTTTTTAAGAAACCCAAGGAATTCACGATAAAATCATTCCATAGATTTTTAAACAGACAATAAAAGTTCATGGTTAATGAGAAAGATAAAATAACCTTCTAGAAATCCATATGTTTCAATTCAGCAGGTTAGTAAAATGACTTTTTTTCTCCTGTAATAGCAAATCTTTGCAGATTGAAATACTGTATCCCTAAACTCCAGTTCCCACTTAAGAAAAGAACGAAACAAAACCAAACCCTGCAACCCCCCAAAAACCCCATAGAGTTTTCAGATTTCAGAGATTCATGAGGTTTTGTAGTATAATTAGTACCCTAAGAACATCTGAAGTCATTGAGCTAATCTTTTGTAAATTCAATGGACGGCATAAACTGCTCCTTAAGTGTGGCCAAGTGAGAATAGTAACTTCAAAACAACTCTATCTGGTTAATGATTAAGCCTTTTAGTCTACAGAATAGAGTTTACAAGTCAGGAGATGCATGCATCGCCATTTTCTGAGTCAACATGTCTCAAATAAGGAAGTATTTAAGCACATTCAGAGAAACTCATCAAGTCCTACACAATTGTTCATTTCTGCACTAATTTTCATTCATTTTTCCTCCTCTATTCTTCCCTATCTGATGTTTTGTTTTTACAGAGAATGTGTTACTTCTCTAATAAAGATAAATATCTTACATTTTTCTGCTACCTGTTTCTAAAAATAGACAGTAAGAGCAAATCATGCAATATTTTATGTTGCATCATCTCAGCATAACCTGGGACCTTGTCTATAGGATTACAGGATAGTTTACTGGGGAATACAAAAAATAGTTTTATTTGGATGAATTACATGTGGTACTGAAAAATATCGTCCAGCCATATCCCAAACGTGAATACCCATATGCAGCTACCCAAGCATGGAAATAGTCTTTCTCTATGACTAATTTAATTGAACCCAGTTCTACACCATGAAAAACAAGTAAATAGAGAAAAGAAAAATTAGAGAGATCTGCTTTTATGAAATTAGAGTTAGCATAGTGTTTATTAATATTCTTGGTTACCTTCACTTTTACTAAGTAAATTTAGAGGGATTTTTTTTCAGCACCTATTTTTTAAATGATACAGTTGCTTCCTTGGGTGGCTTTGCAACACATCCAGACTTTGTATTTAATAATTTAGTAGAATTTCATTAACTGAGAGATTCTAAGTCAGGAAACCATTATGAGAGACCTCATCTGAGGACTGGTTCTACTGATTTTATTTTTACAGGATTGTAACTTCCCAAGATATAAAACTCCCTGACCATTTCCCAAATGAATTTATTTTCCTTGAATTATGTGGTTCTGATCTGAAATCAAATCCACATGGAGGAAACGGCAGGATTTCAGCTGCAAAGAAATGTGCTCTGCTCATTCTAAGAGTCTACAAAAATTATTTACTTACCAAATCATTAGGTATGATTTATAGTAATTTAACAGTCACGTCTAAAGAATAATAATGATAATACAAAAAAATATAAAAGCACAATATATGTGAGAGAGTGTTTTGGTGTTTAAGTCTGTCTAAAACAGGCCAACCATCCAGAGGTTTAGAAAGTCAGACTCTAACCCAAATCTGGCCCACATTTCCCCAGAGAAATGAATACTGAAAAGGTTTATTCATTAAGGGCCATGTATGATGGGGAAAGAGCACTTAATTTTGGGAGCTACTTCTTTCTTTGCTTGTTTGTTTGTTTTCTATTTCTACAGAACATGAATAACTTCTGAAACC